GAAAAATAGTGTAATTTAATTGATAAAATTTAAACTTCACCCATATCTCCTCGTTAAACGAAACATATACTTAGTAAATAGTAAATACACTAGCAATAGGTAGCGAAGCCATAAATTTTTTTAGATTTTTAGCTAAAATATGTTTAAAGTTAGTACATAGTAATTTAGTGCAAATTAAATACAAAAGATAAGGAAAAGTTGCACTAATTAGTCTAAATAAAAAATTTTAATTTTTTTAAATACAATCTTAAATTTAAATTTTATGAATAAAGAAATGAATATTAAAATAATTTTTTTTATGGATTCTAATATCTTTTTTATGTTGGTTGCATAACGAGAGTCAATCCCTTTTCATTTCTTATCTTACTCTACTTACATGTTATATAATTTAATCTCAAAATTTTTATTTTAAATTGATCAAAATTTAATGTAATATTTAAATAATATAAAAAATATAAAAAAAGTTCATAAAATAAAATAAAATGAAACAAAAGGAAAAATTTGCAAGTTACTGTAATCTTCAGGAAAAACAAAAACACACAGACATTATTTGCGGAGGTGGCTCCCAGGTTGTCAGGCGTGATATGATTTTTATTTTTATTACATAGGAATTTTTTTTGTTCACCGCAGGTGGTGGCGCGTGAAGTAGTTACGTTTAATACTAAGTAAGGTCGAAGTCGAAGAGGCCAATATGGGCCATAAAAGAAGCGATGGCCCACCAGTCAAATCTCAACAAGAACACCTGCGGTTCTTCACGGCCGTGGCGGCGAACGTGATGTAATCTCCGGTCGCCGAAAACTTTGAACGCAGACATTTACTTTTGAAAAATAAAAAAATAAAAAAAAAATGTTTTTGAATCAGACATTTCCTTTCACCTCACTTTTTTTTCTGACACGTGGTAATTGGTGGGTCCAGTGTATCAACCCCTTAGCCACCGGAAAATAACGTTTATATAATTTTTTAATCTTATCTTTTTATTTAATTTGATATATTAATTTTTTTTAAAAAATATTTTAATCATGAAATTGGTTCAAATCATTATTTTTTAGAAAGAGATATGAATTTTACAAAAGTCTACAGGGTCAAGTTCTATAATTTGATATATTATTAAAATAATTAATTTTTTTAATTTATATAAAATTTATAATATTAAATTTATTTATTTATTTAATAATATATAAAAATTATATTAAAAAATAATATTAAAAAATAATATTAAAAAATTATTTTTATAATATCACCTCAACCACCCTTTGCTCAAAGTAAGGCTGAGGTGAGCTGCAGAATTCGCAATATAAAAAAATTTAAAAAGTAATAAAATTATAATTGATGGGTATGATTTGATTGAATTTTAAATTTATTTGATTAAAAATTAAATTAAATTGACTTTAAATAATTGAGATTTTGATTATTAAGTTTAAAAATTGAATAATCAAAGATTAGGTTGAATATAATTAAAAATTTTGGTTAAAAATTTTTATATAAATTTTTATGATTTTTAAAATTAAAAATCTTTAAGAGTTTTTTAGTTATTTTTATTAAATTATTTATTTATTTAATTTTTAATAGTATAAATGAAATTAAATAATAGTTAAAAAAATTTTAAAAACCATTAATAAATATAAAAAATAAATTTTTAGTTAAAATTAAAACTAATTCAAATGATTATTTTTAAAAACACAACTAATATTCATAAAAACCCATTTTATTCAATTTAATTATTAATTCTGAAAATTTAATAACAAAAAATCTAATTAACCGAAAATTTAGTTACAGTTACAATCGAAACTTTGCAGTGCTCCCTCCTTAGGAAGGTAGCTGGGTTAGGTAGGGGACTGGGGTAGAAACAGAGGTGCTACGGCCTAGTAGCCTATTATTATTATTATTATTATTTTTTGGGAACAAGACAATTAAGGTAAGGTAATGGAGATTGACAGATTGTTATTACCGGAGTTTTAAACCAATGATTTTAACTAAACAACAAACTTTAAGTTCCACTAACGAACCATCATGTCAACAACAAGAAGGTTGGTTGGTTAAAACCTACTAATATTGATTTATGCAACCACAGACCAAACAGCATTGCAATTTAAATCCAAAATAAATTGAACGGGGTAACAAATGTTAAGTGACCTTTTCTTTTTTTTTTTTTTTTTTCTAACATGGGGAATTTGAGATAATAAAGTAATTTTCAAGTAATAAGTGAGAATAGAATTTCTAACTAATTGAACCCAAGTACAAAAATTTAATGACGAACCAGTTAATCTATGGACTAACTTTAAATGTTACGAGACTTTAACTCATTATATATGTTAGGGTTTTATTTAATTTGATTGTTCTTACTGTGAGTAAGATAATTTATATTAATTAAAAATTAATATATAAATTGATGTTTTTAAATATTTAAATAATTTTTTAATTTATATTTTTAAGAATGCATTTAATTGTATTT